CTTTTGTTGAGATGCAGCAAGCATGATTGCTCGATCATCATAGGTGTTTCTGATCTCTGCGCTTACTACCAATTTTGACCGCGTTGACTTCTCCTCAAATGGGATTGGAGGACGACCACGTTTTTTGAGGGAGTTGAACTCAAGGGAGCTATAAAAACATTAGCTCTTTATATTCAAGTAGTCTAATATGAAGTAAACAGACAAATTTCTATTAAATAAACATTATGATATATACTAAGTTTCTGTAGAAATTGAATTAGTCTTAACTTTTGTGCATTAAGTTACTGACAAAAAACTGCTATTTCTTTGACAACCCTTTAAATATACCTAGATGCTGCAGTCTTTGATGGTGTCCTCAGAAGTGTTTCTGGAATGTTGAAGAGCTTTTTCAAAAAGGTTGCTTCATTTTCAACAAATCTTCTGTAGTTTCTGTGGTGTTTTATTCTATATAGCCTGGTAACACCAGCTAAAAATGAGTTCACATCACTTTCAATCTCTGCTTAAACCTCAGAATCCAGATCTCCTTCTATAAAGTTGAGCTGCTTCAAGATGAATCTCTTCACAATTTCTGTTTGATAAGGGATGTCAGCAAATCCATGCTCTTTGGTTGAATTATTCTTCATCTCATGACACAAGTCAAGATATGTAATTTTCTAAAACAAAAATTGTAATAAGATTAAGAAACATCAATATAAAACATTGAAAGAAGCCTCATTAGTGTCACAGGGATTTAGTTTCTCTTAGGAGAAAAAAATCATATCTTACCATTGTTCAGGAATTTTATGGCCTTTTTCTTCAAGTTTAATGACACCAGCATGAAAGGTCTTTCAAAGACATAAATTTTGAGGTATCAATCATAAAAATCCATTAAAAAATGGCCGAGTTACAGAATTTTCAAAAATTTGGCGCACGATAAACAATTTCGAATTTTTACGCTCGCCGACAATTACGATCGCACGCGCACACATGCTTGCGCGAACTTTAAAAGTCAATAAAATAAGCTCCCGCAACTCCCCGCAACAATTTCATGTGTCCATTTTAAAGGTCTTTATTTCCTCTTTTCACCTGATTTGGTCCCAATTTGTTGGGACTTGTTGGGAAAAAGTTGCAGCACTGTTTTTGACATGTAGTACACTTTTTTTCTGATGTTTGAAAAAATCATTACTATACATAGCAATATAGTTTTTAAATTTTTTTTTTTACTTTTCTAATATTTTTTTATATGTATTACTAAAATTATTAAACAAAAATTTGAAAATTTTCACCCATTATTTTCTAAGACCCACTTTAAAAATAGTCATTTTTCAGTAAATTTTTCACTACTTTTTTCCTCCTGTTGTTCTACTCATAGCCAACCTATTTTTACTTCAATTTCTCTTAAACCTCATATTATGGCTCTCCAACTATCCTATTTTTTGATGAATACCATAAATTTAAAAAATCTTTTCATGACACTTTTGGGATTTTCTGCAGATTTTGACCCCAAAAATGACCACTGTGAATCGCCTAAGTTCGGTCACTTAAGCTTTGAAGATTTATTTACCACGCATAAATTATAAATTTTCAAATTTTTTTTTCTGAAACATACAGAAATTTATATTAATAATCGATATTGTAAAAATAAAAAAATGAAAAATAAAAACTTGTACTTAATATTTAATTTCAAATAAGAACACCTACTTTGATCGAACTTTCAATAACATCTCATAAGCTTGGTCGCTATATAAATCCTAATAACGCATCACGATGCGAATAATAAAAAATAATTTTTAAATGTTGTTTTATTGTTTAATGATGATATAATATCAGGTAATACCATTAACCAAGGAGAGCATTGTTCCGGACTCTAAAAAAAAGTTTTTTGGGTTGCCAAAGAAAACAACATGGAGCAGATAAAAAAAGGCCTTTATAAATAGTATTATTTTTTATTTTTATTATAATTAGTCAACTATTTTATTACTTTGGGTTTTATCCCTTTTTTTTTTGTTCTTCAAGTGCCATAAGAAGTCCTTATAGTTTTATCACAAAAAAGTCCATAAGCATTTCTTGGGGGCATCTACGTGCTACGTTTGCTACGCCGCTGGTTAATAAAACTTTTTATTAACCAGCGGCGTAGCAAACGTAGATATTTTCCAATAAAGTTAAAAAAGAAATTTTTTTTTTACAAAAAAATACTAGTTTATTGGTAATTCTTGCACATATCGTTCACTAAATTAGAACGGCAAAATCCATCCAAGATCCGATTATCACAGGATTTGCAATGCAACCTTAATTATTGTTGAGCTGCAGTTTCATCTCCAAAAAAAATGTAACTAGCTTGACATTTTTTTGAATTCAAAGAACCATTAGATTTGATATATTTCATTTATCAGTGTTGATATATAAAAGTCGCTTTGGATTCTGACATAATTGGAGTTTCGATAACTCCCACTAGTTGTCGTTTCCGCTTTTTAATAGTAGGTTTGTTAAACAAACCAGCTTCCTTTGCCAAACGTTTTTGAGTTTAAATTGAATTAGCACCCTGTTTTTTTTTTGACGCAAAACTTTTCTAGTATGTATTTCGTTCTTCTAATTTTGTGCCATTGTTTGCTTATTTGTAAGTTCTATCAAAGCTTCTATAGAAGTCATAATGTAACTTTTCATGAGACGCATGTTATTATTAGAAACATTTAGTTTTGACTCTGATACGGAAGCTTTGGGCAGGCCAACATGTAAAGCATTTAAAATTGATGTATTTAAATACTCACAAGCAGTTGTGCAGCATGTTAAAAGAGGTAATTGTTTTAATGAGCTCGAAGAAGTTTGTGTGCTTGAACTTCTATGTTTTTGTATACTTGAAGGAATTTCTGGAATTGTGGTGACTGGTATAGACAGTGTTGAGTACTTTGCGCAAAAATAGATTCAATAGCTAACTTTTCATTAGTCATTTTTTACCGACACAAAGGAAAAATACCTGTTGCTTTGAAGCCCGAACGCACACTGTCGCTCAAGAAGCATTGGTCAATAAGCTGTTTGAGCAACTCAGAATATCTAGGTTTTGTGAGATCTTTAAAACTGTTTTGAATGAAATGTTTGTTTAGGATTCCGTGCCATTTACTTTTTATCGTCCTAAATACTTCTACATCAAGATACTACAAGTGGCTGTAGCATGTGAGATATATGAGCCGGTAGCTTAAAATTAGTAATGTTCTCCTCTTTTGCTAAGTGAATTAGCTCAAGCGTTACATGTGAGGCATTACATGTAAAATCATCACTAGAAAAAGGACATTGGATCTTTCAAGCTTGCGACAATGTGGAACAAATGTCTTGTCAAACCATCCAGCAAAAGCAGGTCCTTCCATCCAGTCAGATTGTGTGACACCGTCTTGAGTAAGAAGCCATTTGGTCATCACTCTAAAATTTCCAACAATTAAACAGCAGTTTTTAAAATGCAGAGTTTTCCGGATTATTGGGACATCTGTTTTAAATCTTCCTTAAAATACATACCCAAATTCATCATAATACCTTTGGCCTCGGAATAAAACATGAACAGGCAAGAATGTTCCAAATGCCCTCGATGTTTTCGCTTAACATAGTTGGTTCACCATTTTTTTTGGTATGTTTGCCGTTACTTCTGTTGATGAAAGTTGATCTCTTAAAGCCAAATGGTATAGCTGCTTTCCTTTTACTTATACTTTTATCCACAGCCTTCAAACCACGAGCCATCCGAGCTTTCTCAATTAAATCCATAAATGTATTAACTTAACAAAAAACTATTTTAATGCGTTGCAATATATGTTATCGTTTTGTAATTACTTCATATTAAGTGATTTAAAATTGCTAGTATTTTTTGGAATCAAAATTTACCTGCAAATTGACCAGTAAATTTTGTTTTAAAAAAGGGTAATTTTAAAATTAGAAACAAATTTTTTATTCAAATAAAATACCATGGTGAGTATCCATTATAAAAATGTCAAAACTTACTGATAGATTTACAGGTAAAGTTACCTGTAAATTTACGCAATTGCAACACGAGTTTATATTCACTAAGTCACACTTTTAACATACTAACATTTTACAACATTCGTGTTAATTGTTTCGATCGTTGTTTTTCCATGAATGAACGAAGTTAGAGTATTTTAAAATGTCACTATTTTTATTAAAAAAAGTAGTTAATTTTTAAAAATTAATAATTTTTTATTGTAAATATAATTAATTTGGTGATCCTTAATAATGCTAAGATTAAATATGATCATTTATTTTAATAGCTTGCTTATTTTAGATTTTAATATTACGCATTTTTTTAAATTGTTGTTTTGCTAAAGAATTATTTCAGCAGGTTGCATATAAGTATTTTTTTTTTTATAGATTCATATTTACAAACTATATTATTTGAGAAAAAAAAGTTTGCAAAATTTGAGTTTTGCATGCTTTTTTTATATTTTTTCTTGAATGACCGAAGTTACATCGTGACCGAACTTTGGCGTATATATTATCGAGTTTTAAAAAGTTTTAAAAAGGTCTAGTTGCTTAGTAAATAGTGTTCATATTTGAACCTTGATATTCAAATATTTTATAAACTCTGGAAGGGGTGGGGAAAATTCACGCTGTCATTTCTCTCCTCCCCCCTCCCTTCTTTTGATCCATTATTGTCTTTTGCCCTTCCTCATTCTTTTCACTACCCCTCCCCTTGCCTACGACACGGCTATACAATAAGCTAGCACTTAAAGCTGAGTCAGATTTAGGTATTTAAAATATTAGGTTGTAATCGGAAATCGGATTATAATCATTCGCTAAATTCCATCCTAAAATGCATAATTTTACGCCTTTAGCACCTAAATATATTTTTAACTACTTTTAATATACACTCTCCATTATTGTAATTATGATTTATTATTTTCATTATTTAATCATAATCGATCAAATAATTTATTATACAAGGAAAGAATACAAATATAAATATTAAAATAATAATAAAAATATTATAATACTACTTTTGTGAACCCATAATTGTTTTATTGTTACTATATTTAAAAAAATCAATTAGACAAGGTGTATACATAGTTTATCATTGTATCGTAGTTATGCAAGCAAAGAAACAATTTATACTTTTATCTGTGTTTGATTAAAATTCCTAAAAATACTTATTAGTGGTAAGATGAAAGTTAATTTACTTGCAATATATTCTCATATAAATCAAACAAACTTATGAGTATCTTGTTTACAACAAACAACAACAACAACAACAACAACAACAACAACAACAACAACAACAACAACAACAACAACAATAGCAGCAACAACAACAGCAATAACAACAACAACAATAATAACAACAACAGCAACAACAACAGCAACAACAACCACAACAACAGCAGCAACAACAATAAAAACAACAACAAAAATAACAGCAACAAAAACAATATTATTTTAACAATAATAATAGTAATAGTAACAATAATAACAATAATATTATTAATAACAGCAATAATTAAATTATTATTAATAATATTATTGTTATTATTGTTATTATTATTATTATTATTGCTATTATTGCAATTATTATTGTTATTATTGTTATTACTATTATTATTGTTATTATTATTATTGTCATTATTATTACTAGTACTATATTACAAATAATAACATAATACTATATTACACCTGGTGATTGCATTTAGCATGAATCTCATAGTTGTGAAAAATATTTAGTTTTATTTATAAATAGTATATGTAAATACAGCTCTGTTTTAATTCAAATCATTTTAAGTTACTTTAATTTATCAAGCACTCTCACAAAGATATATGCAAGTACTAATACGTATATATATATATATATATATATATATATATATATATATATATATATATATATATATATATATATATATATATGTATATATATATATATATATATATATATATATATATATATATATATATATATATATATATATATATATATATATATATATATATATATATATATATATATATATATGTATATATATATATATATATATATATATATATATATATATATATATATATATATTATATATATATATATATAATAATAATACTTATACATTGATCTGATCTTATTACCTCTTCCAAGGATAAGGCAAAACTATTTGCAAAAAATCTTTCTTCTCCTTTTTCTCTTGAATCTAATGGTCACAATCTTTTATTTATCTCAGAATATTAAAACTTATTTTTATTCGCTAATTTAAATGAATTAAAAACAACAAATTGTATTTTTTTATTCAAATTTGGAATAAAATTGTTAAATTTAATGAATAAAACAAACATTTTGTAAAACAACATTAAATAAAGTAATTATAATTAAAACAAAATAAAAAAACTTTATTTAAGTTAAAAATTAAATTTATATTTTATGCTAAACGTTATTCCTAATAACATAATTTTAAAAAAATGGCAAAATAATGGCTATATTTAAAGTTATTTATACTATTGAAGTTGTAAACAAAACAATTAAATTAAAAGTGAAAAAAAAACTTTTTTTATTAATTATAAATAAAATAAAATTGACAAAACTTTCATATATCTTTTCATAATTTTAGGAAACCATCAACATTTAAAAGAAAAGTCAACAATCTTGGCAGGGTTTTTTGTCAATTTTGTGCTAAATGTTCGCATGTTTGTCCAAATTTGTTTCAAAGTTTTGTGCCAAACCCGAGTTTGACCTAAATCAAATTTAGGTTGGTGATTAAGTTTATATAGAAAACCGGTAAAAGTTTAAAAACATATAAATTTATTTATTTTATTGATAGATTGTTGCCCTCTCAAAAAAACCAAAACCAAAAAATGTATGTACACTCTGCTACACTAATCCCTAATTAATCAGTTGATAAAAAAAAAAAAGAAAAACAAATTAAATAAATTAAATTAAGAAAAGGAAAAAAAAAAAGAATAAAAACAACAATATTCTAGGTCAATAAAGTGTTTTTTTTAATTTAAATTCAATTTTTTTTTTCTCAAAGTTTAATTAGTTTGCTTTATTATTTTAATGGATTACTTGATTTTGTCATCTTTAATATATATACAAATATATATGTATGTATATTTTATACATGCAAATTTTAATTCCTTAGACTAGTTCCGCTAGTTTTCATTGGTTAAAGTTTTTTTAAATCAAATATTTCAAGTTTCAACTAATCTAAGCAATTTTTGATTTTAGATTAGTTGACTGCTACTTAAATATTTTCAATGTGGATTTACTTATCTGGGCAATTAAAATCAAATGAATCTAAAAGTTCTAATAGTTTGTCATCAAAAACATTACCTGCTAAACAAGAAAATGAAAATATTGTAGAAACAGACATTGGAGATCTCATAAAAGGATGTTGTGGCAAGCTTAAGGTAAAGGTTTTAAATGGTCGCAAGTTAGTCAACAAAGAGACACTGCAAACAAGTGATCCTTATTGTGCTGTAGAGATAGGTGGAAAGCAACAAAAAACAAAACATCTTAATAATACTTTAAATCCAGACTGGAATGAGGTTTTTATATTTGATGTTCCATTTGGTCATAATACACTATTGATATCAGTATGGGATAAAAACAAGCTAAAGAAAGATGTTTTTATGGGGCATGGTTTTGTTTCTATTGATGATTGTATAAAAAATCAAGAAACACAAAAGGTTAGTATGAATGAAATTTATAGTTCTTTCTTTAATAATATATAAAATGTATTAATAAAAATGAGTACTAATGCCAGTTGTGAACAGGCATGCGAATGCACTCCAATCTTGACCAAAAAACTGACAAAGGAAAAAAATTATAAACAGGTTAAATTATATAACAAAGAAAGAAATCTTAAGGAAAGAGAATTTAAAAAAAAAAAAAAAGCCTATAGCTCTAAAAAATACATAAATAATTTAATATAAATCTGAAAACTAAAACTTTAATGGAAAATTAATTTTCATTATGTTTTGCAATTACGTTAAAGGGACCACCAAGTCCAGAGACATGTTGTGTTCATATTAAAGAAAAGGTTAAAACAAAATGTCTGAGCAAATTTTTATTGATTAAAACTAATTAATAAATGTATACCAAGAAAAAAATTTTTTGTTATTTTAGTCGAAGCTTGTCTTCTCCATTTTCTGCGGTATTTGGAGTCTTTAAAATAAACGTGATTTTCCAGGCGCATTATATAGACTTGATAATTTATTCAAGTGAGTTTAATTCATAGAAGTTTTAGTACATGGCGATATTGGAAACATTCTAGAAGTTCTTTAAAAAATTTTCTATTAAATTTTACTAAAATAGCTAACTATGGTTAGTTATTTTATTTTCTAAAATCTTCACATTAAAAAATATTTTACGTTTTTTTATAGCTATCAGAGTCGTGGCTACATGGGCCATGGCAATGGGACCCCTATGGCGCCAAATCGGGTTATATAATATCTCCAATGATTCACGAGTGTGTTCTTTCCATTTTAATGCAAGTTGTTTTGACAAATCAAATGAACAATTAATTAAACCAAGCACTAGGAAGAGATATAGAAAATAAAAATATATTAATAAAATATATAATTTATAATTAACTTTCAAAATATTGACAATTTAAAAAATATATTTTATAAAACATTTATTTTTGTAAACAAATGATAATAGTTTAAAAGATTTTCGGCTTTGCAGATGTGGCTCCAAGAATGAGCCATAATATTAAAGTAAAAGTTCATTTGATAATATATTCTTAAAACAATTTATTTATAAACAAATTGTGAATAATACAATTGCTAAAACATTTCAACAAAATACACTAGAACTTTATTTTACTTAGTCAGGGTATTTTTTGAATCAATGGAATTAGTTTGTTTGTAAATTTGGCGGGTTTTTAGTGTTTGCAAATATTCTTTTTATTCTTTCGCAAGATGTTTTAAGAACATTCAATTTAGTTATGTTTCCATGTATGTCCGTAAAATAGAAATTAATATATATTCGTTTTTTAATTTTTAAGCCCCCGCCATAATATATATTGGATGTTATAATAATGGAAATATAAATAATGAAATAGGATCACCTCAATACCAAAAAATACATTTTTGAAAATGCGTTTATAATTTTTTTTTTTTAATTTTGAAAATGCGTTTATAATTTTTTTTTTATATCTACATAGTAAATTAATAAAAGTGCATTATTATTTAGGTTAAAAAGTATTTTATCTAATATTTTAAAATAAAAACTTATAACAAATAAAATCAAAATACAAGTGGTCTTGACGATTATTTAAAAAAAGTTGCACAAATAAAATACTATTTTGTTTTTAATTTTTTTACAAACACATTTTAGAACTTTAAAATATAATAAAAATGAATATGATTTGGAAATTGCATGTAAAAAATAATAATCGGTGTTTTAAACAAACAAACAAAAAAAATCTATGGTGTCATAAACTAAAACTTCTATGAATTAAACGCACTTGAATAAATTATCAAGTCTATATAATGCGCCTGGAAAATTGCGTTAATTTTACAGACTCAAATACCGCAGAAAATGAAGAAGACAAGCTTCGACTAAAACAACAAGATTTGTTTTTCTTGGTATACATTTACTAATTAGTTTTAATCAATAAAAATTTGCTCAGACATTTTTTTTTAACATTCACTTTAATATGAACACAACATGTCTCGGTAAAAAAAAATGCGCAAAAGATTAATTGGACCAATAAGAGACAATTACAAAAAAAAAAAAAAAATTAGGAAAATAAAATATCTGTTAATGCAAAAAAGCATAAAGCAAAAGAAATCAACTAAAAAGGTTAAAAATACTTTATAACGAGGAAGTAAAACTGCTTCACAATATCGCTGATGATGTTTAGTGAATGGGTTTTTTAATTTTAATTAGTATTTAAAGTGGAAAAAAGTATAACGAGTTTTTAAGATAGGCAACTTAAGCGAAAATAATTAGAGTTAGTAAACCAATATCAAGAACCTTTTCTTTATGTCTAATAACTTGCTATATATTGTATTCTGTCGAAACCTCAGGCGCTATGCTTGTTCATCCGCAAGTTACTTTGTATGCATTGTTTTGTTTAGTAACCAGAAACTTCTTAAATGTTTGTTACATAATTAGTTTTATTAACTTTAATGATTATTAATAACTTCATTGAAAACACAATTTTTTTTGTATGTCTTTGTTTACATAAAAATTGTAATCATAAAAGTTGCTTTAAAGGGATCCCTAAGTCCTATAAAGATATGATCTCATATAAAAGACCATAAAAAAAATAAAATGTTTGATGTATATTATATTTTCTAAAACGTAATAATGAACAATCACTAACAAATTTAATTTTCAAAAAAACGCTTTTCTTTGATTAAAAAAAAATGTGTCAAAGTTTATTGACTCTATTGCCTCAAAAAACTAACGTTTGTACGTCAAATTAAACAAAGTAGACAAAATGTCATTATTGCAAACATATTAGTTGGTAATTAAATTTAAAAGTAAAGTCGTTTTTTTTTTAACTAACACTTAATTACTTACAAGAATAAGTTTGTAGCATTTTGTGAAAATATATTTGTATATTAAAACTTTTTTATAATTTTTATTTATATATTTGTGTTGTAAGGGCAATATCGCGGCCAAAAATGAATAGAAGTCAAATTTTAAACTCTTTTTAGTTAGTTTTTAACAAATAAATATTGATGTAGACACATGCAAGTTTATTTAAAATATTTCCTTATTACAAAAATAAATTTATTTCAGTCATTTTTATGGTTTCAAAAGTGACGGTTGTTCTTATTTTCGCTTGATAAAAAAATAATTATTGTAAAACGTTTTAGTTAAACTAACATTTATGTTAATTTTGCTATATTTTTTGGTTCAAATTGATAAGGTTAAATAGACATTTTATTAGAAATTAAATTAAGACAGGGCTCGAATTAACGCAAAAAAATCTAATCGCAAAAAAATATTTTTTTTTTGCTCCCCCCCCTTCCTCTCTTTTATAGCTCGCACCGATGTACAGTAATAGGGGGAGGGGCTTGCGTTAGTATAAAATTGTCTCTTTAGCACGTAATTGTTATCTTTTAACATACTATCTCTCATATTCAAATGTTAGCTTATGATTTTCTTGTTTGGAAATTAGGAGTTTAAAATAGCGTAAGTTACTGTTATAATTTACAGCTTAATTTATAATTTAAAGTTTAAGTTGCAGTTACAGTGTAATGAGCAAGTAACGTATTTAATATTATTAATTAAGTAATTGTTTTTACTTAACATGATACTTAAAAAAGTAAAAGTAAAAAAATAAGAGTAAAAAGCAAACAATACTATATTTCAGTAACGGATCCAGGGGAGGATATGGGTATGCATTCCCCCCTCCCCTCCAGAATCTGAAAGTCTTGAAAATATCATAGAAATTGAGGACCTTGTTATTTGCTTTTTTTTTTTAGGAGACGCAAACATGGTACAAAGTTCAAAAATATTTCAACATCCTCCACCAAAAATTCCTGGATCCGTCGCTGCAATATTTAAACCACTTTAATTAGTCATAGAAAACTGTTTAATATAATCATACTGGCGAAACATAAAAAACAAAAAAACACATGTGTTTTCAATGAGTATTTAATTGTTATTATAAAAAGCTGTAAAACAACAATAAAACAAAAAGTTGTCTTTAAAATATAAATAGCTTGTGTTAATGTAAAACAACTTTGTGACGCTGTTTTGTTGCTGTTTTATACAGTTTAATAACATAAAATGCGTTTAAAATAAAACAAAGCAAATAAATGAAATTGTTTTAATTAATAAATTAAAAAGTTATAGTCAATAAATCAAAAAACATCGTCAAAAACTTAATAAAAAATTAGATACGACGTTTTTTATAATTTATTGTTTCTTGAATAAAGGACAAATAAAAGTTTAAATATAATTAAGTTTTTCATTTAAATGGTTTTTAAGTTGATGTTTTTATTCAATTGTTCTATTTCAATTGTTTTCCAATAAAAAGTGAAACAAAAAAATTTGGTTTAATAAATCGAATTATACTTCATGTTTAAAATAAGGCTTAAAAACATTAAAGTAAAAAAATTGCTGGTTTTTATTAGCATTTTTATATTGTTTGAAGAAAAAAAACTAATAAAAAAGAATTAACTAATAATATATTAATTAATAATTATTAGAATTAATAATAATAATAATTAATTCTTTTTTATTAGTTTTTGTTTCAAACAGTATAAAAATGCAAATAAAAGTCAGCAATTTTTTTGCTCTAACGTTTTTAAGCCTTATTTTAAACATTTTGATAAACAAAGACAAAAACCAGGCTGTTTTGTTAGAATGAAAAAAAAACTTGAAAAAACGAGTTTTTTTCCCTTTTCAACTTTTTGCTTTAACGACCTTTTAAAAATTTTCCACGCAGAGATTTAAAGTAATTTAAATTAAAGAATTGCTAAAAAAAATGCTAAGCTAGAAAAAAAATAATTAAACAATCAAAAAAAAACAAATAGCGAAAAGATTTTTTTAAGAAAAAACTAATCACGGAAGTGTGAAAAGCAATCGCGATCGCAATACGCTTAATACGAGCCCTGTAAGACTTTTTTATAAGTTCTAAACTATTTATTAAAACTATTACATAATAACTTTTTTTTAACGACGTCTTTTAACTGAATTCTATGATACTGTTTTTGCAAAA